AAAACCGCTTGAACAAAAGCAGGAGACTGAAACTTTTCCTGCTAGTGAAGAAAGTGACTACAGGGAACCAGAACCAAGCAGTGTCCTGCTCCTTTCTCACAACTCTCCTGTCACAGATCAGTGTGAAAGCAAGGACAATGACTTACACAGAAATAATTCGAATCAAATCACAGCAGACCCGATGGTTACAAATTCCAAGAAAGTACTTTCATGTAGCACCTGTGGAAAGACATTTAATAGGACGGGAAACTTGAATCGACATATGAAAATTCACACAGGTGAGAAGCCACATTCTTGTAGTACCTGTGGGAAAAGTTTTAGTTGGAAGTCAGACTTGACAAGACACATGCGAATTCACACAGGTGAAAAACCACATTCTTGTAGTACCTGTGGGAAAAGATTTAATCGGAAGGAATCTTTGAAAATGCACCTGGAATATCATACAAGTGAAAAACGATATTCCTGTAGCACATGTGGCAAAAGATTTCATCTAGACACAAATTTGAATAGACACATGCGAATTCACCTAGGTGAGAAGCTGAATTCTTGTGGCATTTGTGGAAAAGGTTTTGGTCAGAAGACACGCCTGGATAGACACATGCGAATTCACACAGGTGAAACGCCATATTCTTGTAGCACATGTGGGAAAAGATTTAAGTGGAAGGCGTATTGGAAAATTCATATGAATTTTCATACAGGTGAAAAAAAACATTCCTGTATCACTTGTGGGAAAAGATTTCATTTAAAAACAAATTTAAAGAGACACATGCGAATTCACACAGGTGAGAAGCCATATTACTGTAGCACCTGTAGGAAAAGATTTAGCGACGCAGCAAATTTTGCAAGCCACATAAAAAGTCATACAGGTGAGAAACCACACTGTTGCAGAGGCTGTGGGAAAGGCTTTATCCATTTGTCAAGCTTGATAAGACACATGAGAGTCCACAGGGGTGAAAAACTTTATTGTTGTAGCACATGTGGAAAAAGCTTCAGTTCTTCGGTACAGTTGAAAATGCATATGAAAAACGATGCTAAGTTTCATTCTTAGAAAATGTTAATGGTGTCTCTCGCTACATGCACGTGTACATTTGGTAAACATAGCTTTTTCTATGTGTTTTGGCTCTTCATCCACCTTAAATGAAGGGTGAAGATTTTCTAAAGCTTAGTTTTTGTTTACATGTGGATTTTAAAAAAGCATTTGAAAACATGAGTTTGTCTCGTGTTCACCTTCATCACTTTTTTCTAACGTCATTGTTTTATTATTTGTAGGCTTTTGATTGGTTGACATATCTTCATGTTTTTAGAAAGGACCCCAACCCGACACACTGTTCCATGTTTATTTAAGAGTCTTTATTGATTTCAACACTGGTTTATTGTTCTCTAGGTTCAGCACCTAGGTCCATCAGCTTTCCAGCTGTCTTTGCTTCTGGTCTCTGACTTCACTATAAAAAGGGGAGAAACCTCATTAGTTCATCGTGTGCACCTTTCCTTGCCACCTCCCTTGCACTACCCCTCCCCTGCAGCTGAGCCAGAGTCCACCTCTGACACAATGTTGCTTAAGGCATGGTCCTGATAGTGCTTGAGATATTCTTTTGTGTGTTCATGTGGTCAGAGCTATTTCTTAAAAACAAACTCAGACAAATCACTGTTTTAAAAAAAACTGCCCGTGTACATGTGGAGGTAACCTTTATTTAAATCAGTTTTCTCTTTGAAATTCAGTTTGAAGGTGTTTAAAGCACCGGTTCCATTAACTGTTTGCCGACTTGCACCCTGCCTAAACTCCCATTGGGTTTGTTTTTTTAAAATGACATTTATACACTTATTTTACCGAATAAAACTTGAAGTAATATAAGTACGTCCATGCTTTAAATGCTACATGGTCATACTCTCCCACACTGCACTGTTGATCTACACACGTCGGTTGCAGCCATTTTCTCTCCATCATTTCTGCACAGAGATCAGCTGTCAGTCAAACATTATGGGTGGTACCTCCACATCTTCTAGTTGTTCTCTTGATGTTTTGGACTTTTTAAAGGAGATCTTTCCTGTGACTGTTTATGGAGGCTATCACTGCTCATCATGAGTTTGATTTACAAAAATATTTCTCTATCCTCTAAATGTTTCTTGAATATTTGTTTTGAAAAATGTCGACATTTCTCTTTGAGTATGGCAGACTGTGTGTGTTTTTGTTTTTTCAAAATTATCAAATGAGGAAAAACTGTGATTTTAATGAATTCATATATTGTTTTGATGTTTTATTGTGTAAATAAACTGGAAGGTTTAACTATAAATCAAACTTTGAACAAAGTCTTTTCTTCTGTCTTGATTTTCTTAAGTCCTTTCAGATGTTTGTAATGGTCCTTGAATGCAGCATCAGTGTTACAGGTTGTGACTCCTGTGAAAAAACGGACACAGTGTGGTATTACCAGTGTTGGGACTAACACGTTATTAAGGTTCAAATGTTCACTGAAAATTTAGTTTTATATAAATATGATATTGAGCTCAAAAAGCTATAAAGTTCCTAACTCTCACAGCTTCTCTGCAAAGGGTTTCCCTAAGAGAGAGGAAAAGTGGTTATCAAGAACTTGAGGACATTACCTACATATAAACAATTCTAAATTTGTTGGGTTTTTTTAATGTCAGAAGGAGAGAGGCACTGAGGCACCATCTTCCGTCCCCCGGCGTTCCTGCTCTGCCTTTTCCTTCTGACAGGAACTGCCTACAGAGCAAGTATGAATGATGCCTGAGTGGACCTACACAACTCACAAGTTCCTGGCTCTCTTGGGTCCTCTGCAGAGGGTTTCCCTAGGAAGGCAGGCATAGCAGGGTCACCGGGGGACGGGGGGCTGTGCCTCACTGCCCTCCCCTCATCGAAGAAACCCTCGTGCAGAGTTCAGAAAGCCAGAAACTTGTGTATGTTGACTATGTCCTTGTGAGCCTCCACCATTTACTGGTGGGTGCAGCCTGAGCTGTCTAGAGACAGACCAGACCAGCTGCACAACACAGACACTTCAAACCTCATATGAGGACAAAAACTACCACAACAACAGAAACAAGAAAGAAAAAGTAGCTTAGAACCATCCAGGGTTACAGGAGACGGCAGCACTGCAGAGGTGAGGACCAGCAGCTGTTTGAAAGAGACAACACAATACACACAAAAACACGAGAAACAAAGAGGTCATATCCAAATATATTAATCAATTATTGGAATAATCTAAGTATGCAAACTAAATATCACAGGAGAGCTCATGAGACTACAAACACTGACAATGACACGGTCCAGTTCAGAGACACAGGTTTAGCAGAGGTGAAGCAGCTGCAGCCATGTATGTCAGTACCCACCTGTCACAAAGACCAGCCTTTCCATGCCTGAGTCTGCATTAACTGTAAGCACTGAAGTATTTTAAATGATGAGTCATCTAAAGAAATCATCCAGTGTATAGTTGTTTGAAGGGAAAATCAGATTTGCTGATCTCCCCACCCAGAATCTTTCTTCTGAAACATCCTGCAAAGAACTATTTTTCACTTTCTTACTTTAAGTACATTTCAGAGCCTGTATTTTTTTTTTTACTTCTACCTGAATAGAGAAGTTGAATCAGTATTTAAACTTTTATTTTTTAAAAGTAGTATTTGTACTTCTACTTAAGTACAGAATGTCTGTACTTTTGCCACCTCTGGAAGAGACTGATAGCAGCCTGATAGCGGCTGCAGAAGAAATGGGGTTTTTTTTTAAATTCAGCATGAGGATACTGGAAAACGGGAACTAAAACTAAAAAGCAGTCTAAGGGGTTACTTTTGTCCCTGGCTGCAATAAAGACGTTCTTGACTTTTATGTTAAGAAATTAAGGCTATAGTGTCCACTTTCAGTCTGCATCTCTTGAGCAGTAAGTGGTTCTACGTTGTTTTGCTAGCTGCACTGATTTGGAAAACCCATCTGTTAGCTGATATGCTCTGATAATAATCTTTATAAATCTTCTTGTTTTCCAGTGAGCTCTCAGTTCTGTCATTAGTTAGCTAACATAAACATTGTTAAATCTATGTCTGTCTGGCACAGAGAAGACCCAAATGCAGACGTGTGGTGACCAAAATGAGTTAACTGAAGGAGAGGCATTTGTTAAGGCTGATTGACAAAACAGAACAAAAATAAGAAAACCAAACGGAAACAAGGAACTAAGCAGGAAAACCTAAACGGGATAGACCACTAGGAACTTGGAGACGCAGGAGAACAGACACGCTGACAAAGGACAGAGGGATGAGGGGTAATTAGGGAAGTGGAGACACCTGGGAACACAGCAGTAAGCAAAACTGAACACAATGCACATGAGATGAGGTACAGTCAAAATGAAACAGGAAGTAGCACAAACACAGAAATTCAGATAAGGACACCCAAGCTTGACATAAGAACAGGGATAAACAAACACTGAAACACGTGACAGACTGGGGAGACAGAACACAGAGACATGACTGAAACTAGGGAGAGAGAGACACAGAGTTGTAAATAAACACAAACACAAGACAGAACAAGAAGCTTCTGGATTTATACAGTACAGGCCAACAACTAGACTTACTTAAACAAGGGCTTGGATTATAGAGATGTTTAAATATTGTCTGTGGATGACTCTGTAGCATGTTGTTTAAGTGGACTTTAATATAGACCTGTGCGTAGTTAAAATCAGTATAAATAAATAAATAAATAAATGAATAAATAAAATAATAATAACACTAAGAGTATTAAAAAGTGAATAAAACTGAACATTTTTTACATTAATAAATAAATAGAAACCGACAAGCTAAATTAAGTCATTGCATTTGATAACATGAATAAATAAAACTAAACAAATACGGAACATTTTCAAATAGGAACTAAACTGAAAAGCAAAGTCACTCTGCAAATGAACTGAACTGGAAAAAAAGCTTAAAACTAAATTATAATTATGATAATAACCAAGAAAACTGTAATTATTTTGATATGGAAAGCACGTTGTGTGTAGTTACGCAGTAACAGCCGCCAGGGGGACCACTCTGTCCGCGCTCAGCTGTTGGTCCAGCTGCATACTACATCTCCCAGAGTCCTTCGCGTGAGTTTATTTTAATGCAGCTACTCCGTCCTGTCCAAGCAAACAAGGAGGAAACAGATGAGCTGTCCGCTCTACTGGGGTTGATCTCTCCCCGCTGAAGTCATCTGGATGACAGCATATTAAAAAAAACACCCGGAACAGCGAGTTTTAGAGGTAAGTTGTAGGAGGTCGAATTTAAAAACCGGGTTTTAGTAAACGAATTTAAGCTAACAAAATGGCTAGCTAGCTTTCAAAGGAACCGCTCGGGTTTGCTATGGCATCGTGCAGATGTACCGTGAGTGTTTGTTTCGTTTTATTTCACCTCGTTCATTTTGTTATTTTCTGGTTTAATGGCATGTATTTGTGCTAAATACCCCGACGCCGTGTTGCTGCGGGTTTTGTTGGTCTCATTTCCGCCTCTTTAGGCAGGTGTTTGCGGTGCGTTTTCGGTCTCTGATCG